TCCTGCTCAATGGCAACAGGTGCTTCACAGAGAGAATGAGTAGCTCAGGTTTGCCCATGGCTCACCTCCTAAACAACAGCCGTAGCCCTTGATAACCCAGGTGACAGCAGAGCTGGTATAAAATTTCCTTTGAGACTTAAGTATCACTAAAGCTGCAGATAATTTTAACTGTGTTTTTAAGTTTTTTAAATGTATTTACTTGTTTTAATACTTTTGCATTGGGGTTGGTGATATGATTTTTAGTAAAATTTGGTTTTATCTGTTTTTATTCTTTCATGTACTGTAGTTTGTAAGCCCCCTTGAGCACCATCTTTTAGTGGAAAGGTGGAGTAGAAATTAACAACAACAACACATGTTCAAGGACAGCGTACACTGATATAGGTGTAAAGATCCCTGTTTTTCTCTACACTCCAAGGACTGTGTTGGTGCATTAAAGAAACATTTTCTTAGGTTCCTTAGGCTAATTAAATGCAGAGATCTGCAAAAATGCAAAAATCAAAGTGGTTTCAAAATCATATTTGCTAAACAAATTCAGCACACACTACACAGAGTACCTGCAAAGGTAGAAAACCAAGCATTCACGTTTTGCTCATGAAATTGGCTCTTCAATTTTGGATATTCAGTTACAACTACTAGTAAGGAACAGATAAGAAGACATGTGAATCCCTTAGGCAACTCTCAACAGCGGCTGCAAGTCTGTTTCTGATTCCTCTAAATCAGATGTTGCTGAAGTCCAGCCCCCATTGATCCTTGGTGGCACAACCAACAGAGGGGGATGATGTGAGCTGCAGACCAGTGATATCTGGGCCACCCACTCCCCACTCCTGTTCTTAAGTGGGTTGTCCATGGACCTTGATTCTGAAGTGAATGCCTGATGCTCAGAAAGAAGTGAAGATAAGAGGGTGATAACTCACCACACAATGTCCCAAAAAAGTATGCTCTGCACCTTGAGAAAAACTGGATGCAGCACCGGCAAGATGCCAATGGCCAGTTCACACTTTGATTTCTGTACATTTAGGCTGAGTTTGAACAACCAGTAAATAGGTTGGGTCTGCAGGTCAGACTTACCACTTTTAATGGCATCTCATATAAAGAACAACTACTGTATTAAATGGAGGAGAAACGTTCTAATCAAGCTTTGTACAGTATATGTTTTTCCAGCCAGGGCCATTTAACATAGGGGGAACATTCTCAAGCAGAATAGTACTGGCCTACAGGTCTGATATATGAAATCCTCTTTCCCAGAATACATTCATACCTAATTCAGGCCAAAAAGAACATGCATTCATGTAAAGCAAAAATGGTCAATGGTCCAGATGTTCAGACTGCAAGTCCCAGCAGACTTAGACAGCATAGACAATAGTGAGGAAAGCTGGAATCTAACAGCATCTAGTAGATCACAGCTTTCCTCACTTAGATGGAAACAATAATTCAATTATACAGAATTGCATTTGATGGGAAGTGAGGCAAACTGCTCATATACACTGTCAAGGCAGCACTCAGGTGGAACCATGTCTTTTAAAATAGAAACCCTAGAAGCTTTAATTGTTAAGAGTTACTTAGGTTTTTAGGCTCAAAATTAGAGGAAGAAAACACTTATTTCTGAGGAACCACTACCAATAGAGCTTATTTCTGAATGTATGGAAGACTGCAGACTAGGCAGCTATTTCTAGCAGAACACATGTACTTGCGCAAACAAAAAAGCATACTTTATAAAGATTATTACGTCAGTACAACCATTGTGTCACAGACTGGTTGTTGTTGCTTTTGAAAATGTTGCTAAGCAGCAGAGGTTTTTTTAAAGGTTAGATAAATTCACAGAGGAGAGACTTATCAAAGGCAGCTAAAAATGCAACTTTTTTATTTCAGGGTCATGTATCTCCTAGGACCAGATACTATGATGAAGAATGAGATTTGGAATCACCAAGATCTGTGAATTTATCTAACCATTTTTTTTAAAAAAAAAACCTCTGCATGCTGCTTAGAAACACTTCCAAAAGCAACAACAACCAGAATGTGGCATAATGATTGCGTTAATATAATAATGGTATAGTATCTCCATTATGTCTGGGTTGTTAGATTGGCACCTTTAGCTAGTCATCGCTAGAGACTTGACTGCCAGGCTGCTTCGTCCTCTGGACAGCACTCTATGGATTAACTCAAGGATTTCCTCTGAACTTCACAGTTACTAGCTGATGTTAACGCACAGTGCCAATTTAAATACTTTATCCCCTACATTTCACTGGCTCTACAATTTTTCAGCTAGTTGCACAGAGAGATTTTATTTCAGAAAACAGGTGTATTGTGGGGAAGGCAGGAAAAACCAAGTGAAATAGATCATTCAGAGAGTTATGCAAAGGGAGGGATGTGTCTTCTGCTTCTTAGTCTGCAAGGATATTATTAGAAATAATATTGCTCTAGGTAAATCAGCAAATGGGAAAGTGCTAACTGTAAAAGATGTAATAGAACTTAAGTTATTAATGACCTGAAAGGGGAGAGGGAAACCACAGAGAATGGAACCTTACTTTTATATGGTCTTCCATTCTCGACTGTACAATAGAAAATGGCAGATTTTGGGTATAATAAAGTTAAAATATATTTCAATACTATATTTAAAGAAAAGAAAAGATAGCCATAAGTATTTCAGATCAGGACTAAGCAAAGTTTAGGGCTTTAGGATCTCCATAGTCTCCTAAACATGTTTCCATTGTTTCTGTTCCCTATAGCCCCTGAAGATCATTTTGTCCTAATACCCCACTTTCCATTCCACTACCATCACCCTTTTTAAAGAATATTACAGTTTTCAAAGTCTATGTACATTTCTAATCAAAATTATTCAACCCCCATTGCAAATCAGGTTTATGGTCAAAATTTACAATTTCAGCTGTTTGCAATGAACAAATCAAACAAAAGCAATTGAAATAGCACAACACAATGAATGCTTCAAGTGGTTCCCTCAAATTCAACTGAAAAAAACATCTGTTAATGAATTCTGCATTCTCAAAATTATTCAACTGCCTGAATAGAATCCTTTACAACACTAGAAATATGCAAAACAGGAGCTCTCTCAAGCACACTTGATGCAACGAATCAGGGGCTTCATTAATTACACAGGTGTGCTTGAGCTAGAACACATGAAATACCTGAACTGGCTAAGGGTTTGGTGAGTGCCATGTTTAACTGCATGTTAGAAATATGGCTAAGTCATAAGAATGATCCAAAAAGTTAAGAGATAATCGCCCTGCACAAGCAGGGAATAGGATAAAAAAAGGCAGCAAAGGCACTGAATGCTTCTAGAGACACTGGCGGAAGCACAGTTCACAAATTCAAGTTAAAGGAACAGTGGTTGCACTATCAGGATGGATCAGACAAGGGAAGCTATCAAAGGCTACAACCAGATTTCTGAGAAGGCAGGTTGAGAAAAATGCTTGAGTGACTGTAAAAGCCCTGCAGCAAGACTTGGTGGCAAAAGGCGCATATTAAATGCAGAAGGCTTCCATGCCAGAACTCCAAGATGTATACCACGACTGACCCAAAAGCACAAGTCAGCTCCAATATGCTCAGAATCATATAAATACGCCACAGACGTTTTTGGGATTCTGTTCCATGGAGCACTGAAACAAAACTGGAACTTTTTGACTTGATGGATCAGTGGTATGTCATGGAGCATGGTGGTGGCTTGGTGATGCTCTGGGACTGCTTTGAATCCTCTGGCACTGTAAAACGTGCAACATGTGGATTCACTGAAGTATCAGGAAATCCTAGACACTGGAAAACGTGCAACACGTGGAAGGCAAGATGGATTCACTGAAGTATCAGGAAATCCTAGGAGAAAACTTCATGCCATCTGTGAGGAAGCTGAAGCTTTGGCACCTTTGGACCTTCCAATAGGACAATGATCCCAAGCATATCTCAAATTCCACCAAGGCCTGGTTGCAGAAGTAGTCCAGGAAGCTTCTACGGTGGCCATCACAGTCACCTGCCTTGAACCCCATAGAAAATCTCTGGTGGGATTTGAAGAAGGCAACTGCAGCATGCAAACCCGAGAATATTACTGAATTGGAGGCCATTGGTCATGAGGAATGGACTAAGATTCCTCAGGACTGCTGCCAGAAGCTGCTGAATTGCTACGCATCGATTTGCAGCAGGTCATAACAGCAAAAGTACTCTACCAAGTACTAAAGATCCTTGCTATGAAGGGGTTTAATAATTTTGAGATTGCAGAATTCATTAAAAGTTGCATTTTCAGTTAAATTTTGGGAAACCACTTGAAGCATTTGTTGTGTCAAGCTATGCCAATTGCTTCTATTTAATTTGCTCGTTGTAAACAGCTGAAAGTCTGTAACAAGTACTAAAGATCCTTGCCATGAAGGGGTTTAATAATTTTGAGATTGCAGAATTCATTAAAAGTTGCATTTTCAGTTAAATTTTGGGAAACCACTTGAAGCATTTGTTGTGTCAAGCTATGCCAATTGCTTCTATTTAATTTGCTCGTTGTAAACAGCTGAAAGTCTGTAAATTTTGACCATAAACCTGATTTGCAATGGGGGTTGAATAATTTTGATTACAACTGTACTTGAACAATAAAGTTGCATAAAAATGTATTTCATGACTTATGCTGGTCACAGGTAGAATCTAAGCTTCTAAGGTTGGGAAGATCTATTCCAAGATTTGCCAAACACACACATATGCATGCATGCACACATCTAAACAGCATCTCCTAATGGTTAACACTGTCATTTTCTTTAAATCACAGTAAAACAAAGGGCCATGATTGTGATGAGATGGGTTTTTGAGTTAAAATCTTTTAAGGCATATGGGTTTAATCTGAACTCTGGATTCCTGCACAGAGCAGACTGAAGATCCAATCTCAATGTGCACGCTGCATAGTAGGCTGACTTCCACTGCTACCATGCAACAAAAAGAAGCCATGGATTATCAGTTTTGCCCTGTGAGCACTGGGACACAGAGAATTGTTTTATTTCTTGAAGCACAGTTACCTCTTTTCTCTCCACATCTGCCTGAAGTTTTGCTTGGGAGACAGCAGCTTCTCTGTATGAGGAACTAGCCTGCTTAGCCTGCTCTATCAGCGTCTTCAACTGCTGAGCGGTGCTGAGTAAGGAATTGACTGTCTCCTCAAGGTAAAGCCAGCTCCGTTGTTCTGTCATTTCAAGTCCACTGACTACTGATGAAGATATTGTCTTGGCGGGGGTAGCAGGTGGCACAGCCAGGGCAGGAAGTGAGGTCCACACTGAACAATGAAAAAACACAACAAACCACAAAATTTATTCAAGGCCATCAATCCAAGATTTTTGTGATGTTTACCGCTGAGGTGACAGGCTCTAACTTTAGTTCATTGGTTTACATATTCTAGAGGTTAGAATCAGCCAGACATGAGATTTTGTAGGTTTTGCACAGCAATGTAAGACAGTTTGCACAGTTTGCTGTCCTCTGAAGATGCCGGCCACAGAGACTGGCGAAACGTTAGGAAGAACCACCTTCAGAACATGGCCAAGAAGCCCGAAAAACCCACAACAACCAATGTAAGACCCTTTCTTCTGGAAGGCATTTTGTACCCTGGAAGTAGATTTTGGATCTCTTCTAATGACCTCTTTGGACATACATTTATTGTGAAAAGGGGGGGGGGAGGAAGCCATTTTCAATTTTTTTAAAATGCTATCTTGGGACTGAAGTAGATAGTGCAGGGCAACAGTCATGGAGTGACCAAATGTATTCTAAAGACATGATTGCTCATTTTTATGCAGAAAAGATATTCTTCCTCATAGGGTGTCAGGCAACGGAGTCTGAGATTTTAAACAATGGGTGGGTGATGTATATCACAGTCCAGAAGAATGTGAAGAAAGCTCCTAGACCCTTTGAAATTACCATCATCAAACATGAACACATAAATATACAGAGCTGCTCAACAGGAATATAAAATCATCACAGCCCTCTTCCCTAGTGCTTCATATAAGATGCAACCTTTTGCCTTCTTAATTTAAAAAGGCTAAATTACTTTTAAATACAGGGACATATCACTATGATTCATTGAACATTTCACTCATAAATTTGACAGTATCTGCTGTATGTGTTTGGCCAAGCAGGACCTTATTTTTCTAACACCTACTGCTGTATTCACAACCCCACCTTATGGCTCTACCCTTCCATCTGAGGCAAGTGAGTTTCATTGCTATACATCCAAAAAAGTACTTAATATAAACCAAACACAAATAAACAAAACACCAGCAAAAACAACCTTTTTCAAGGGCTCAGTGCTCTGCCATGTTACCTCAGAAAATGGAAGCCAAACAGCATATCTTTACACATATCAATCCACTGGGCAAAAAAGGCACAGCCTTTTTCTTGGTCACTTTAAGGTGAAGACTCAAAAAAGTGTTCTTGGTGGCCACTCTCAGTTTGTGGAATGACTTGTCAAGGAAGGCCAGACTGGCCTCCTTCCTGCTGTAATTTTATTGGCAGGCAAACAGTACTTTTTTCTAGTAGGTCCTTTGGCAATTAAGATGAGTTGCTGTTGAGAGGATTTTCACTGTGTATATTCTGTTCTTTTTATTTAAATTCATGTTTTTAAGTTCTTTTCAATATTTAATTGCATTCGATTTCTCTAACTTTTATTATTCAAATTTAATTAATTTTTATTTAAGTACATGGAGAAAAGTGGGATATAAATCCAATAAATAAATAAAATGTGAGTATCATATATGCTTAACTCCTTGGAGATCATTCTTAAGAAAGATGACTCTTTCTGAAGAACAGCCTTCAGAACATGGCCAAAGAGCCCGAAAAACCCACAACAACCATGACTCTTACCAATTTTGCGATGAGAAGTTGGCAGGGCTGCCTCTGGGAATGCTGATATCTGGCAGTTGTCTTGATAACTTGGATAGTGAGGCTCTGGATGATTGACCCGGCAAGGCTGCTGAACATTTGTATCTTGCACTATGGAGACAAGAAGGACCAATTGTACATTTTGACTGTACATCTTCCGTGTGAAAATCAAAGATGTGAGATTACAGTAAAAATGGTGGCCTGATTTTGAAAAATGAAGAAATTGAAGCATTCACGGTATTTATTTATTTATTTATTGTCTATGCTTCCTTTCCCACAATTATAGGACCCAAGGTGGCTCACAAATTAGTAACACAATAGACACAAATTAAAAAGACAATAAATTATTCCATAAAAACAACTAATCATATATTAACATTAAATTAATTAGTTCAGCTGTGATGAAATACCTTAAAAGCCAATTAGAACATACATAAATATGTAGCGCCCAGAATTAATACTCTTCCCTGCTCAATTAGCTGTTAAAAGTAGATATGACTCAAAATCATTTGCATGTGACTTTCTAAATTATTAATACAAATGGATAAAAAACTATTCTTAGCTAAATATTTAGTTAGGATTGCAGACTCCCATGCATAATACAGTACTGGAGTTTTACATGACTCCTCTGCCATTCTAAAACAGTTTAATATAAAAAAATGTAAAATGTTTGTAAACATTTGCAAAATATGGATGGAAAAATTGTGAACCTATTACCATTTTAGGTTTTTCCTTTTATAACATAGACAGAGAAGAAGTCTGATCCAAAGTGCTGAATAGTTTTTTTAATTTTGACACCCACATTTTGCAACTCCTTAAGACACTGACATTTTGTACTGAACATGTTTATTAGCAGAAAAGGCATATGTGGGCTTAAATTGATTGTGTTTATTGCATTAGGATGCAATCCTGAAAGCAATTCTCTCTAAACCGAACAGGACTTACTTCTGAACAGACAACCATAGGATTAGGCTGTTTGTCAACTTAGGGTATGACTACAAAGCGGGGTGGGGGGTGCGGGATTTGATCAGCTTTGATTTGCAGTTTCTAAAATCAGGTCCCTGCAGCCATCCAACCAACAAGCACGGGCAGAGGCAAAGCAAGCTGACAAATGTGGGCACGGAGCTCCAACACTAAAAGCTGTCTTTGATCTGACCAAATTTCCACTGGGTGCAATGCTTCACTTTTCCTCTCCCGTCCCTCCACCCCGAGCAGACATGTTACTTATCTGAATAAGCACTAGCTTGAAAGCATTTCAAAAAAAGAGAAAGAAACACTGTTTGAAGCCAATAGGCATTTGGTTGAGAGCAAGTGACATTCCTGAAAGCATCTCTCTGCATCAGATCAGGAGATCACACAGAGCAGAAAGCAGAGAGAAGTTTAGGTAGCCCAATCTGAACAAAAAGAGACAATTCTCCAACGGGCCTCCCTGTATTGAGCTTTACATCCTGTTGTTGTCAGTTTTTCATTCAATTTCACCTGTGCCTAATCTGATGCAAACTGCAGGAGGAATGACCGATGTAGTTGCCCCTTCGCTGATATCCTCCCACAGTCTTCCAACTTCTTCATCCTAAAATCCTGGCATTCAATTTCACACAATAATCCGCACCACATATGCATACATGTGGGCACATGCTCATGATGTCTTTCACTTACCAGTGGTACCTGTAAAAACATCACCCTGGGATGGGCTTTCCGAGATGATAGCTGTGGCCTCCACAGTTGATGCTCGGTCAAAGGTCAGAGTGCCAGAGGTAGTGATCTGTCCCGAAGGACTCACTGTGACTAACAAAGGAATTGCAGAGACATTTTCAGAAGTAGAACACTTTTACTCATTTGATCAGGCAGCTCTCCTTTTTTTGTTCCTCATTGTCACAGAAACTATTCCTCTACTTTGTGGTAGGAAGATCGTTGGCCTCCAGATATTGGATTACAATTCCCATCACCACTCACCACTGGCTGGGCTGGTGATGGGAATTGTAATCCAATATCTGATGGTTGGATGCCCAATAACAGCTGAATGGCTACAAACTACGTACCCACTCACACAGTACGTAATGATGAAAATTTTAGACAAACAAGAAGAATCCTTCTCACCCAGTGTGGTATAGTGGATAGAGTGACAAACTAGGCCTCAGGAGGCCTGAGTTCAAATCCTTGTACAGCCATGGAAGCTCACTGGGGGTATGGAACGGGAAAAACCACTCCTTAAATACAGTGGTGCCTCGCATTACGAGCGCTACATTTGACGGCGAAATCACTCTACGTTGAAGGTTTTGCAATCACAAAAGCCATTGCAAAACGATGTTTCCTATGGGGGAATTTCGCTTTGCGATGATCGCTTCCCTGCTTCGGGAACCGATTCTCGCAAAGCGATGATTTTCGGCCAGCTGATCAGCGGTTTCAAAATGGCCGTCGGGGAAAAAACATGGCTCCCCGCTCTTTTCTGGGACAGATTCCTCGCTGCACAGGCAGCGAAAATGGCCGTGCTATGGAGGATCTTCACTGGATGGTGAGTTTCAAGCCCTAGGAATGCATTAATCGGGTTTTAATGTGTTTCTATGGGCTTTTTAATTTCGCATTACGTTTTTGTTCTACAGCGATTTCGCTGGAACGAATTAATGTCATAATGCGAGGCACCACTGTCACTTACCTTGAAAACCCTATTAGAGTCCCTATAGGTCAGTTCTAACATGATGCCATGTAGCAGCAACAAATGTTGCCACAGTAAGCAAAGAAGCATGCTTCTTCTATACACAGAACACTAGAACAGTGGTCCTCAACCTTGGGCCTCGAGATGTTCTTGGACTGTAACTCCCAGAAGCCTTCACCACCACCTCTGCTGGCCAGGATTTCTGGGAGTTGAAGTCCAAAAACATCTGGAGGCCCAAGGTTGAGGACCACTGCTCTAGAAGATCAAAGAGAAACAGTCACTGCGGGCAGGAGGGAGATACCTTAGGCTTGACTTACAAGCCTATTTCAGAGAAGCAAAACAAACACAAAAATTAAAAGTAAACATTTGATTTTACAAGTTATATTTTGCTAAGTACATTTCATTGATATACAGTATTACAGAAACCATAGCTATATACTAATAGATAAACAAAAAATTGATTAAAGGCCACAAAATGCAAAATTCAGCTTTGCTTGCCTCTTTGAATAAAGTTATGAAAACAGATCTCAAGAAAGCTCTGTCATGCAAACAAAATCCCTAATATTCCTATAACAACAACAAATTCATTCATGCCATTATGCAGCACCATAAACAAAAAGTATTTGTCCCTCATTGCAAGCTGGCAACATAATAACAACAGAATGGGCCACAGTAATAATAAATGAGTCTTTCCTTAAGGTAGATTTCCATCCGCCCTCAAGGAGACACTTCAGGCCGCGCCACAGTACTGAGACGCCATTGGTCGCCCTGTACGATGACCTGCTGAGGGAGGCCGACAGTGGCAAAATCTCCCTGCTGGTCCTCCTTGACATCTCGGCGGCCTTTGATACCGTCGACCACGGTATCCTCCTGGGGAGGCTCTCTGAGTTGGGAATTGGTGGCTTGGCACTTGCCTGGCTCCGTTCCTTCTTGGGGGACCGTCCCCAGAGAGTTCAGCTTGGGGAGAGCGTCTCAGCCCCATGGAGTCTCAATTGTGGGGTTCCACAGGGGTCGATTATCTCCCCAATGCTGTTTAACATCTATATGAGGCCGCTGGGTGGGGTCATTAGGGGATGTGGGGCTTCGTGTCATCAATATGCCGATGACACCCAGCTCTACATCTCCTTTTCACCAACTGCAGGTGATGCTGTCCTTTCCCTTCAGCGTTGCCTGGGGGCC